TATATCGAATCATCATGATGTATGTATGCTTTAAATATCTTACAATTTTATTTGTCAATTATATGTCAGTAAAACGGGGGAGAAAGAAAAAATCTGAACCATATTTAGGTGGAAACTTCATTGTATTCTTTACTGCACAAATTCTAATTAGTCCTTTACTCCCTGAAAACCAATTCATTCATTCAGCTCATTTAAAGGTTAATCACCCACTATACGTCAGGCAATGCCTTTGAATTGAGGACTCCAAGATAAAGGATGCACAATTTCAGACTTTAAAAGTATTCTAAATATATGGGGAAGATTTGCCCTAAGATGATGCCAAGAAAATGCTACTAATTTTTATGATAAGGTGATGCACAAAGGACTGTTGGAGCCAGTGAGAGCACATGGTGACAGCACCCCTTGGGGGAAGGATGTCATAGAGAAGGTAGCCGTTGAGTTACGTCAAGTCAGCTGGATAATGAATCCAACACATTAGGAAAGAGAGGCTGTGTTTCAATTCCAGAAAGAAGCAGTTAATGGAGACACCTTAAAGACTGAACAAGCATATATTTCCTTGATTAGAAGGTGAGTCACACAAGGAAAAGAAATGGGAGATAGTGTTGGACAGGAGAGGCAAGGGCTTATGGATGATGGGTCTTGGTTACCTTGCTAAAGAATGTGGAAGTATCTTGAAGGCAGTGGAGAAATAGCAAACATTTAAGCAAAGGCAGTTACCAGCAGTTGTCCTTTCCACCACTATATATTTTTCCCTGTGTCCCTTCTGTAATTTCACTCCTTGTTTTCTCCTTAAGTCATATTCTTTAACTCATTTAAATGTATTCTTAAGGTATTGATAATCTCTTACATTTAATATCTTGGGCTCACGAGGCTCACCTTTAGGTCCTTTCGTCTGTTCATCTGAGGCAGCACAGGATGCTCAGGGCACCCCTCACCCCTTGGTCTCTGATTCCCACATGACTTGTACACGGCCATTCCTGCCTCCAATTTCCTTCCTTCTCTATCTTCTGAAACTGTTCAATCCAGAGAAATTACAAGTCAATCATCAACAAAATCTCATTAATAAAAAAATTTTTTTTAGGATGTTCCCTATAGGTTCTTTTTTGTAACTAAAATTGGTCTCTCCATTGACTATACTCCTTCTCTTACATTCCTTCAAAATGGCACCTGTTTTCTTCCCCATATTCCTTCTACGGCAGGACTGGGGTCATAGTACGTGTCCTCCTTTTTTCTTTTTTTCCTTTTCAATGCTTCTTCATAATCATATTCCTCCCCCTTCTCCACAGAAACTTCAAGTGTTGACTATTCCATCCACTGTTTCTCCTTGCTGTCGTCCTAACTTCTAACCCTCACGTCATTCTCCCTGTCCCTTGATCATTTCATCTCCTGGTTTGATCCCACCCCCTTCAACACTTCCCTTATTTTCATCCTGGCTCAACAGTCATATAGATACTTTCTCCAGCGTTCAGCCCTCTGAGTTACTGGCTTCCCCTCTCCAGTGAGTTTGTATCCACCCTAACTCAGAGAGTCACTGCCTTGGCCTCACTCTTACAAACGTCAATGTCACATGCCTGCTCTGACTACCCCTGAGCAGCTCCACTACTCAGTAAAAGCTCCCACTTTGCAGCTCACTCCTGCTACATCGTGACTCCAAGTCTCCTTTGACAACACTAAACTTCAAGAGTTGATCTTAAATTGATCATATCACCTTATCTTGCCACAGACCTCCTTCAGTCCATAATGTAATTGCTTCTTTCCTTACATGACATAAATACCATGGTGTGGAAAAAGTCACCCCGTTACATATACCCACTGATCCTTGTTTTTTTTCCTCTGCTTTTTGCATTCACTTAGTGATGCCAAAACTTTGGTGAAATTAGCACTGCCACCTGATTATCTGCATACACACAAGCTGAGTAAGACTTGGGGACAAAGACATGCACAGTGAAACCAATCTCACTTGAAATTCATGATCATGAATGCTGTCTGGCAATTATTTCATATTTTCCAAGTTCATTTTTTTATAGCTACCCTGTTCAAATATTTCAGACTTTCTTCTCTCTCCATTTTCCTCCATATTTTTATCTCAGTTGACAAAATCTTCCAGTTTCACTAAGCATTATGAAGAGATCTTTTTTAATCTTCCACCACCACTTCTGCCCGCCTACCAGACTCTGTGCTCTTATATTTCACCCTCATTTCTGTTACTGTAATTTGACAGTCCATGCTCCTCCTTTGTGCACTCACCTATCCCAAGTCTATGCTTTTAGCTTGAACCTGCCCCTGAGTTCCGTATGCCTATGTGGGAATTCATATATGTATTTGAATCTCCAGTTGAATATTTAAGAGGCATCTCTAACTTAACACTCAAAGAATGAGTTCCTGGTAGTGCTACCCATCTCTCACCTCAACTGGGGGAAAAAATAAAGGCAAGAAAAACAGATTTTCCTAGGGTTGGCTGCATCTCAAGTGACTGGCATTTTCATTCTTCTAGTGGCTGGTGTTAAAAACCATTGTGTTTTTTCTTTGAACTTTTTTTTTCTCACATCTTCCGTCTTTAAGAAACCATATGGTTCTCCTTGCAAAAAGCATCAAGAATTTTACTGCTTCTGCCTCCCTCCATTACTCCCACTGTGGTCCAGGTCGTGAGCATCTTTGCCCAAATTATTGCACTAACTTCAGAGATTTAATCGTACTGCTTCCCTTGCCCGCTGCACTTGATTATCGAGAGTAATCACCAGAGTGATCCTGTCAAAATGTTAAATCAGATAATGTCTCTCCTCTGCTCAGAAACTTTCAGTAATCCCCGCTGCTGTCAGACTAGAAACCAAAACCATTACTGTTATCTCAAATTCCATATACACTCTAGACGCCGTTTCCTCTCTGACCTCATCCTTTCTCTGCCTTATCATTTCTCCTTATCTTTTTTCACTATGTAACCATCCTATGCATCTTACTTTTCTGTTGCATTTTTCTCTAGTCTCCCCCATTATAATGTAAATGCTAGGAGGGCAGAGGTTTGGGGGGTATGTTTTGTTTACTACTGTATCATCAGAGCCTAGATTAGTACCTAACTCATGGTAGGCATGCAATAAAATGAATGGATGATTTAACGAATGAAATTGTTTTCACATGGCTACATCAGAATCAGTTATGCATGCTAATTTTTTATAGCTGTGTGATTTACTGTAGTAATTAAAAGGATGATCTCTGAAATCACACTGAGAGAAATTTGAAATCTATCAGTATCTTACCACGTGATCTTGCAAGTTGTGTGTAACGTCTCCAAGCCTTGTTCTGTCATTTTTAAATGGACATAATAATAGTGACTGACTCATTGGAGAATTCTAAGAATTAAATGAGAAAATACAGGTAAAATGTTCAAAATATCCAAAGCGCCGTTAGTAAACTTTTAATAAAGATAGCTAATATTTTTATTAAAGCTGACACATATTATATTATTTTTCTTTTGACTTCTGTTTATTTTCAAACCCTCTAATTTGTTTCACACTGGTAGTCAGTCAGTTATTCTTTGAGAGTCAGGTGGACCCTAGAAGTCTGAATGGCTCATTTCAGTGTGTTAATGTCAGACAGGTGATCGGCCCTAGGGTTTCATCCATTTCCCCCGGACAGAAACTCCAGAATGGAAAAAGTGTTGGTTATAGGAATCGTAGAAGTTGTTGGGAAAGAGTTTTCCTAAAAATGACACCCAGGAAGTTTAGTGAAATTATTTGCATCTGTAACAAGTCATCCACATAAAACTTTACATTTCACATTCAGTCCTGTTAAGTTTTTCACTTAGGAACATAACCCTTAGAAAAATAACAGCCCAAACTCTTTGATGCTCAACTAAATTTTTGGAGTTAAGAAATATATACGTAGGATTGTCTCTTTGTCTCAGGAGTTATTGCGATGATCCAGGAGTGAGCAACACGGTGGGGCCATCAGCAGGGGTCTGATTGCAGAAAGTCAGACCACGTGTCTCTGAGAGTTTGCACCAAAGAGACTTCACTGTGCACACTCACCACTAGTAGGGGAGTTTGGTTTTTTTTAATGAGAAACAGACCCTCTAAGATAATTATGTTTTTGTTCAGATTGTGTATAAATTGATCAGATTTTGTATTTACAGAGTCAAGTCTAGAATCTTAGGCTTTATGACTGCTAGGCTATGGCTGTTATTTTACCCCACTATATTCCTATATTCTAGGTTAGTAAGAAAGAGAAGCCTTAGTCTGGGAGTTCTAATAATCTGAGTTCCAGTTGCAAGTTCTAGTCTAGTTCTTAACAAGACTTGCCACTTCTATGCCTTAATTTACTTATCTGTGTGAAAGGAGGGATGGTACATGCCCTGTGTCTGTTGCTGAATTAGTGTTATAATTATGTTCAACATGAAAGTTACGTGCATGAGCTGTGTGCTACGTACTTGCTTTCTCATTGGAAGGACATTTCAACAATTTCTGATGCTCCTGCTCCTTCTTCAACTTTTATTCTTTGTTCTTCTCTTTCAGTTCCTAATTTCTGTAACTTCATTGTCAACACCTCCACACCAACCCCTCCCCCTTTTTAAAATAGCATATTGGATTTTGCCAGTAGGTAAGGCAATAAAATCACATTGATAGTTGGAGTAAAGAGCTCCCCTTATTTCTCTTGGGTAAAACGTTGATAATATCAAACTGCCCTTTTCAACTCTGTACTTGGACGTTAGTTACCATGGTGTCTTTTCTTCTCATTTTTGCAGGAAATGACTTGTTTCTCGTAGCAGTTCATGAACTGGGACATGCTCTGGGATTGGAACATTCCAATGACCCGACTGCCATCATGGCTCCGTTTTACCAGTACATGGAAACTGACAACTTCAAACTACCTAATGATGACTTGCAGGGCATCCAGAAGATATATGGTAGGATATCACTAATTCGTTTGGCTAACCTTGCAGTGAAGTCCGGAATTCCTGCTGTGTTTTCTCTTTTTGACATAGGTGCTCCACGTGTATTAGAGAGACAAATATTGAAAAAAAAGCGATATGGTCTATTGGCAAAAGTCTTCTGTCAGTCAGGTTTGGTTGGCGACAGCCCAGATGTCAGAGTATGCAAATGATGGAAAGTCCATGCACCGATAAAGTTTTCTTATTGAGTTTAAATAAAACCTGAAGTTATAATAAAGATCTGATAAACTTCAGTATTTAAAATTCAGGTAAAAATGTAATAAGTGAATATAAACAATAAAATCAATGAGAAATAGGAGACTTTCATATAAGATACTAAGACTTTGGTGAAAGCTGACAAATTAACTCTCAGTTTACGATAGTTGATGTTAGATGGCTCCTAGACACATCAATTTAGAGGTGTGAAAATACTCTTGTGACACGGATGTAATAAAATGACCTCAAAAGCATGTAATTATTGTCTAAGAGCAAAAGGTAACAAATGGCTAAGTTTACTAATACATAATTCAAACTAAATTTCTAGTAGGGTCAAACCATTTTAATTTATGGGCTTCAGTCAATGAATGCAAATTAAGAGGAAAAGGAGAAAGAATATTACCCATGTTTACTGTAATCCTAACTCCCTCAATAGAACCATCGACCTTTATGAAGACATTTATTTAACACAAAATTGTTAAGAACTTGACATTTATGATTTACAATTAGAGTATATGCTTTACAAAAGTAATGAAGTGATGCTCATTTTACAATACAAAGACAAATGTGTGCTGGCTGTATGTTAATATCCAATATCCAGAAGATGTCATTTGCATTTTTAAATAACGTAGTTGAAGTTCACTAATTTGTTTTGCATTCATTAGTTTTTCAATTTCAGTGTCTCAGTGGTGAACATTCTCTCAGGGTTAAAATAAGTTTTGAAAGAAAGGTCAACTTCTGTGCTGCTGCTGAGAAAAGAGAAATGTCTGGGTCTCAAACCCAAATAGCTCCTATGTTGAACGAGCAGCGTATGCTGTGTGTGTGTCATCAGAAATTCTGCCTGAGTAGTTAACTGAAAAGAGGCTCTTTCTCATGACCTCATGAATTAGTCGTCTAGACTGAGGGTCTGCAAGAGTATTCTTGCCATATCTAAATATTAAGTGTGAACAGCTCTGTATTTCTTTTTAAAAACATAAATCCTTTGAGAAATGATGCTTTTACATCTGTACCAAATTACATATGTAAACTTTAGCGTGATTTAGAAACCTCGTTTTAGAAATACTTCTTCACATCAATATTTTACTAGTGGTCTTTTAATCAATAGGTCTTTTAGATTCAGTATTCAAATGAAACATTCTTCTAGCAATTTGTCAAAACATTTCATTAGAAGAAAATAATGAAAGTCAGGAAAAGTTTACCAAATACAGTTAGAGACATAGGATAGAAGAAACTTTGATTTGTTAATGTTTATCTGTTAGAAATATTTGCGTAGATCGTCTATCAAAATCTAAGATTAACTTTGGTAAAGCATGCATTCATGGTTCCAGTATTCGTTGTAATGTATTTTTTATTTATATACCACCTTCTTCCAAAAAAGTTCTGAAAGCAGCTTTTCCAATAAGGATTGGGGTGAAGCGATTTAAAAAGTCATTAAAAATTAACAGAGAAAGACTAGTAACTTGGATCCAGAATTGAGCATGATGAGGACAGATTCTGATAGACTTGGCAGTGGTTTGTTGGGTAAGATGGTTTGTTTTCTCAGAAAATATACAACCTTAAAGACCTCTTAGCTCACTTAGTCTGCACCCTCCGCTTGTGAGTGACTGTCCTCTGCAGCGTATTTTCCAGCACTAGGGCAGTTTTAAGTGAGCCAAGTGTTGTCCTCTGTTTTCGAAAGGTCCACCTGACAAGATTCCTCCACCAACGAGACCTCTGCCGACGGTGCCCCCGCACCGCTCCATCCCGCCGGCCGACCCCAGGAAGAATGACCGGCCCAGACCTCCCCGGCCTCCCACTGGCAGGCCTTCCTATCCTGGAGCCAAACCCAACATCTGCGATGGGAACTTTAACACCCTCGCCATTCTTCGCCGTGAGATGTTTGTTTTCAAGGTAGGAAGCTGTGATTTTTTTTTCTTTTTGGAACGGTAGATCAAGTGTCTACATGAAAACAAGTCCTCATTCATTCTAACACTACCTTCCCAAACCTCTTGCAGTTAGGTTCAAAAAAAAAAGAAGCATCTTAAAAAATAAACGCACAAATGGACTTAAATGTCTAGCAGAAGAAGATTGTGGTAACTAACGTTCTATTTGGGGAATGCATTGATGTCAGCAGAAACTGAAATGCCTAGAAATGCGAGGCTGAAAAATATGCTGCATGTTATGAACAGATAAAAAAGCATAATTTAAATCATGAATAGGAACTAATAGAGATGATTTGCTTGGGAGCTTAGCCACTTCCAGGCGCACTGCAGCTCCTCTATCTTTGGTTTGCACATCTTTTTCAGATCCTTATAATTTCCTTTGACAATTAAAGCGTTGCTGTTTAAGAGGAGCATTGATCATTTTGTTTGAGGTCTACCAGTAGCCATTTGAGTTAAATTTCCTCTACGAGACCATCATTTTGATTTTATATATACGTGCTGTTTTCTTTAGTCAAGCATTTATATATCTAATTCACATTATTTTTTAAAAGATTACAAGCTAAAACTAATCTTACATTTTGCTAAACGTGTTTTTCAATGACATTGAGTTCTCTGACAATAACACTAAAAAGTCAGTGTATAAAAGTGAGTTACATAATATTAAAAAGTGAATATAAGTGTAATACTAAAAAATATAGTTCTCTCAATATTTGTAAACCAATCTTAAAGGTTAATGAAAAATGTTTTTTGTTGGCATTTGTACATTAAAATAGCCACATTTTTACCCATACCATCCATTTAAAAATAAAACAATGTGCTCTCTTTTTAGTGGACGTGAATCAATAAATAATGAAATATTGTCCCACTTATACAGAATTTTCTATCTACTAGAAGCTGTACTTTGAAAATATAGATTTCATACAATTTTTAATAGATAAAGTACTCTGTTTCCTTTATTGGAAGCTAAAATTTGGATTTAATATAATATGCACAAAAGCATCATACTTTCCAGGAAAAATCAATGCTTTTGTTCAAACACATGAATAGGTTTTTTAATTTATAAATGCTCTTCAATGCTTAATTAGCTATATCTTGCTTAAGTAGATTAATTAATTTAGATTCAAGGAGTGAAAAAACACTTACTCTCTATGTATACATATATATATTACTCATTGCAGCTAAGCCCACAGCAACTAGTTGAAATGAAAACAAAATGCAATAATTTGTTTATCCTGCAAGATAGCAATGACAACTGAAAAATTTTCTTTTCACTGTTCTGGATGAATTTCAACATCTAAGCTTTATACCTTGATATTATGGTGCTGTCACCAAAGTTTCAACCCTATCTGAGACTATGATAGGAAATTGGCTGTGGTTACACTCATTTCATTCTTCCTGTCTGTCTAATTAAGTTACCAGCCTCAGAAGAGACCAGTATCTTTATGCCTAGTGATCATTTTCATCAACGTTTTTGCTCTGCGCATTGAGAGAGCTTAGTGAGTGCTCTTGACTGACAAAATGAGATCCTGTGATCACTGGTTCCTGGAATCAGAAATGAATAAAAAGCACGTAGACTGACCCTCAAATGAAATTCAGTAGCAGCTATTTTCAATGTCAAAACAGATGTGTAAAAAAAAAAAAACAGGAAGCCCTGTTTCTCTAAGCTTTCCTGTTACCTTGGATTACTCAATCAAAACTCTCTTCAGGACAGAGTCACTACTCTGAATTTGATTTCTTTGTTTCACGACTGCCTGCTTTTTTTTCCCCTAAGAATAAATTCTATTGAAGATATCTTCTTTACAATTTTTTATATTCATCTCCTTTTGCATCTGATGAGTATTATGCCCAGGGTAGTTTACGAGGTATCCAGGATGTATTAATAGAAGGTAGCACCCTGTCTTTATGGAGCTCATACTCCAGGAGTGAAGACAGACATGAACCTATGTACTTTTAAGATACAGAAGGAAAAGGAGACATACAAAGAATGTACTGAAATCTAGTTGAATAGATAAAAAAAAAAATTGGACCGAGAAAAGGCTGAATTTTGAGAGAGACACATACTTAAAAGAGATTGGCATTTGGCATACTAAAAAGTTGATGTATTGAGGGAGAGAAGATAGACATATTAACTCTAGTGCAAAGTGATAAATGATATAAATCAGAAATACACAAGATTTGATCAAAGGAGATCAAATAGTGGGTGATCTGATTGATACCCGCTCTTAGTTAGCAGCTACGTAAATCGGGTAACTAATAACGTGCCTGAATGTAAGCGAGGCACTTTACATCGACAATCTCTAGAGCTTATAATAATACTGCAAGGTGGATGGTATTTTCTGTTTTACAAATGAGAAAACTGAGAATCAGCATAAGTAGTGAGTCCTAGTTATGAGGTTTTCAAGCAGTAGTCACTAGTTGAACACATGTCTTCTTGATTCCCCAAATCTATGTTTTTTACCCTAAACTTTGCTCACTGAAAGAGTTAGGGAAAGGTTCAAAGACAGGTGGATTTTAAGCTATATTTTAAAATAGGAAATATTCAAGTAATGTTCCTTAAGCTCCTGAGGTGAGACTCCGTTTTAGGCACTGGCAGTGGAGCAGGAAACAAAACAAGCCGGACCTTGGGTACGTGCAGCCTGCGTTCTAGTTTTGAAAGTGGACGTGTGGGAGAGAGTGCTTCCCACACAGGTCCTGCACCTGTCACGGAAGGCTGGGGGAAGGTATCCACACTGACGGAGCCCGCAGATTCTGTCTGTCACTGTTAGTGACTCTTGGTCTTCTAACTTCTTCCTCTGTACCCATGAGGTCTAGACGACCTTTACGTCTGAGTTAATGTCATTTCCCCACACTTGATCTCCTGTCTGAAGCTACTCTCTGCCGGTCTCTCTTGTGCACACCTCCTTTTTACATTTTCCTTTAACTTGCTCATCATTGGTTTTCACAGTTTGCTCCTTATGGGCTATTCCTTCAAGGACGTGTTAGGATCACCCACTATCTCACTCTTACTAACGTAACTTAATTTTCTACTTTTCTTCATTACTAATGTACGCAAATTGGAAACCTCTTTGTCTCCTCAACCCTTATCCACTAACACTCATTTCACTTTATTTTTAATATCTGGGGCTCCTCTGCAAGCTTCTGCTTTTCCAAAACTTCCATCCTCAGTGTCCTCCACATGTCCCAGCCTCTCTATTCATCAACCCCAAATCTCTTCCCAGTGATTCTTAGATTTATTCTCTTTCATCCAGTTGACATGTTTTTGGTCTCTATATTCTCTGATTATTTCTCATTGTACTGTGCTTCTTAACTAGATTATAAATTTCTTCCAAGCAGGGGATGGTTCATGTGGGTTTCATTGTGCTGAGGCTAATGGATAGAGATCTCAGTATAATAATTATGTAATTAAACTACAGCCAGTGTCATATTTATACAATAGTAATCAACCAATATGACATTACTGAAAGTATTTCATTCTGGTACCTTGTTATCCCTTGCCCAAGATCTCCATGAGTATTAGTTGCTTAAATTTTGTATGTATGATTTTTAAGTCAAAAGTAGGAAAATCTAGATATAACTAATAGATAATAGTGTCAGGTAATTTTATTTTCTTATTAGAAAGGAGCCTTTCTCTATAATAGGAGTTTCAGCATAATTCTTTTGGTAGCAAACTTCCTCTTAGGAGATATTCGATATACATTTAGCTTTCTAGGCATTCATTTATTTAACGTGAATTCACCTGGATATGCTTTCTATATGGGAATATAAATAAATTATATATATTAATATATATTATAAATATAAAATCCATATGTAAAACATTTATATTTATAAAATAAATATTTTAAATATGTTTTTATCAACATTATTTTGTTGATCTATTATTATTTATTTATATAAGGGCACATTTATATATTCTGTTCTTATGAATGAGAAAATTGAGCCTTCCATGCAGCTACATTATCTTTGGGGAATGTAAACCACCTAAAGCAAGGAAATGAAAATCAGAACAAAATGTCAAGAAACAGAGAAACAAAATAGCAATAAGAAGAGAAGTTTTGTCCTTATTATATAGAAGGCGATTTTTAAGAGTGTTCCCTGAAGGATGTAAGCTGTGTGTATTACCTGACGCCGCCCTTGTGGCTGAACTGACAACAGTAGCGAGATCTGATTGTTCAAACGAATACTCTCAGAGTTCCTTTGGACAAGATAGAGACATTGACTATTTAGTGATGCAGTGGTGTGAAAGGAAAGGGAAAGCAGAATCAGCCAAGCTTGTCCAGGATATGCTTCAGGACACAATATTTCCCAATTTGACATATGGAATAATGCAGGGTAACTATATTATTCC